CGTATGCACCAATGTCCAATTCACTACCTATGACGAAGTCTGGATGAGTCAAGTCTGGATGAATTTCACTAGTAGCACTGGTCGATGAAGTTCTGGGTTCTGTCTGAACTGAAGGGTTTTGCTGAATAAAATAACTTAATAATTTTGTTTGTTTTGCTGGACGTTCACTCATTGTAAATTTTGATCGCAATTGCAATAAATATCGACTGACGAAGACGCTCAATAACGATTGTCGAATCAGCGAATAGAATAAATGCATATTAAAGATTGTCATCCAGCTAAAGCGAGTAGGGATTTTTTTTTCTTGCTTTAAAACGGCAAGAACCGAATTTAACCCTGTCTGCGAAAAGCAGTTACATGCGTTGTCTTTCAGTTCTTTTTAATTAACTGGTAACAATATGTTAATAAATCACCGCTGAGAGTGAAGAAGCGCTATGCGCAGAATGCAGCTATCATGGGCGCGGGATTTCAAATAGGTCACTACAATAAATAAATAAATTAGGGTTTATTACCAGTTAATTGCAACAAGCAAGAGTTCTACATTGAAAGACGTTCTCAATTAGTACGATAAATGAGCTTGTTTTTAAACGATCGATCGTTTTATGAAGTTATAAATACGGGAACATCAAATATATTTATTTTGGAAATGGATTGATATTTCGTGACGCACTCAAAAATAGTTTATGAACCATTGGCATTTGGCAAATATCATGAATTTATGCTATTTCTTCATGTTTCATGATTGCTGATATTTCATTCTATTCTCATTTTACATTTTTTGCGTTATTTCAATTAAAATCATGTGTGGCATTTTATTTAACCGTTGACAATGGGGTAATAATCGGCGATTACCAAAAGGTTGAAATGGGACATCCCAAAACAAAATAAACTAATTGACGCCTGTCAAGGGGGGGCGGAGCCGGGCGACAAAGAGCCACATGTGTCGATGTTTCTCTATCATCGGCAATTTCGGCATCACTTTGAAACTCGAAAACGCAAGGACACCCCGCGGAGTGAAGACTTGCGCATAGGGTAATATTTGAATTACGATTGCTGAATAAGCGAAAAAAACAAATGCTTATTTTCTTGCTTGAAACAACGATAAACTAGTTTAACCCTGTTGCCAAAAACAATAGCATGCATTATTAACAAACTGGTAATTTATGTTAATAAATCGCCGCTAAAAGTAGAGAAGCATTATGTGCAGATATCACCGGAATTTAAATTCACTCTCAGTAATATAGTTACGGGCGTAGTGAGAGAAGGGTCGGCGATTGCTGAGAGTAGCACATGCAAAAAAAAAAGCTAATGAGACACAGCGCCGCACATGTTGTTTTGCCATCATCGGAACATCTTTTTAAAGACCTATAAACGCGTTTTTATTTCACCGTAACCCCCCCCTTGAAAAAATCCTGGCTGAGCCCCTGTGTGTAACGTGATTCCTAATATATTAGTATTTAGGCATGACATAGATTTTGAGCAATTCAAGGTAAAAAATATTGTTAAAATTCGTAAATTTCAATGTTCCGAGAACGAAATCCAATGCTCGTCACATTTCAAAATAAATACAACGACAGTAGTACTCCTATTACAATTTTGCCTAAATTTCAATACAGTAAAATGGTGAGGAATTCCCACTATTTACATAAATACAAAAATAGAATAGGATTCGTTAATTATTCTTTATTGTCCATATCTAACTATAGCATCACATACCATCTTATTACTAACTATCAACCTTTTTTATTAACACTTTCTTAGAACAAGGCTCTGCACAGTGGCCAAAGATGCCCCACACAGCCCATGGGGAAGAATAGAAAGCTTAGTGGTCAACCATTCTTGACTTTGATTGAAATTGATGAAAAGGCTGATTTTGCTATTGCAGGCAATTTTATAAGGGTCTCAATTCTAAAAATCGAACTTTCCAATTTGACTTTCGACTTAATATCAGAAATTAAATATTGCTGAAAAGGATAGATTGTATTATTCGTATGGAGCGTTATAAAATTATGAATGTGACACAATAATTATGTGGTCAAGAGTTGGAACCACTGAGATTCATTGTAGATCCGGCTCCACCCATATTTCCTGGCTTTATGGTCCAACTCTGGTTCCCCAGTCTTCTTGAAAGTATAGGTCACTGCATGATTAAACCTTCAGGCCAGCTTTCTTCATGCTATGCCATGTCCAGGTATATTTTAATGAGTATCAGAAAAGAATTTGGGCATTGCTATATTTTTCAATTGGTGTCATGACATTGATGATTTGACACTTGGTAAAAGTAAAATCCATTGCATTAACTTTCGTTTCAAATGACTTTAGGATCAATAGTTATTTACTGCTGCTTGATTCCCACAATGTATACTCACATAGACATTAAACTTTTACCAAGAGTGATTGCAGAGTGAATTTTAACTGAGACTGGTGAGTGATTAGTTACCAGTATTATCAGGTTTCTAACTATCTGAGACAAAACCTAATATTCTAAGTAAACAAAATGTATTTCTTATGAATTGTTATTGGCGCCAACAAGTGGCAGACAAAATAACACTCACCAACCCAGCTCAGGCTTTTCTGTGCTTGTCAAGATACGCCACAATTCATAAATACAAATACAGTAGTTTTCATTAAATCTCTATTCTTCGAAACAGAAAAACCACTAATTTCAATCAAATAAAACGTCCAATCTTTTTGGCCGAAGGGCCACATGTAGTTTACTAATAATTGCACGGGCCACTTAACATGGTAGTTATTTTCTAGTTTTGCTACACTGACTACAGGTTAATGAAAAAACAAACAATACCCGAACACCAAACTTTCAAAATTATTATACCAATAAAGCTGTTGTTTCCCAACCATTGATGGGGCGCCATCAGTAGTTATTTTCGAAAGCTTCGCCGAAGACAAGCCAAGACGCTTGAACTTTTTCATCACAGCTCCCAACAGAGCTATGCCTTTAGTCGTACCCTTAATAGGGACAATGGCTGCGTGCTCTGCGGTAATTTCAAAATTATTATTTACTCCCCGCAAGAAGATCGCCAACTGAGAGCTCTTTCGTCAAGCGCCAAGGAATACGATGAAAATTGTCCCGCCTTTGCAATTAAAGTTTCCGCTATAGAGTTCTCAAGCTCTTCGACACGAAGAGTAATGGTCTGTTCTGACAGGTTATTTTTGGCAGACAGGCAAACACCTCTTTTATTTCCGGACGTAATACATTGGCAACCCGAACAATACATAATATATATTCCTCAACGAATTCTCAATCTGAAAAGGGCTTGGATGGTTTTGCGATAACATCATATAGAGTAGTTTAAGATCAAGTGTGTAAGCGGCTATGGCACCTTTATGTATCGAGTTGGTTACGATTTAAAATGACACTACAAATGGCTCATTTGAAAGGGCTGGAAGAGCGCATTTCAGAAAAATAAACTAATCGTTTGTATCACATATTTGTATACTACATCACTCGATAAATAGTTTTACTTCAATTTTTTTATTCAATTCTGAAATATACAGCAAAGGCAACTCGAAATGCTTCCGCCGGCCACAGGTCGGATGACCCTAATATAAACCATGCCATTTGTATTTGTAGCTGCTTTACTATATTAATATTATTGAAGCCAGGGGCGCAGCAAGGATTTTCCCAACGGGTGGGTTACGGTTAAATTAAAACATCACACCAAAAGTGCTATTCACGATGACGTAATAATGCTTTTAGTAAACTAAAATGCATGGTCGTTCACAGCGAAATTCCACAGTTAGCCTGCCTCTCTTTGCCTGACGGTGTTTGGTGAATATTGTACAAGTCCTATTTCAAACATCGACCATTAATCCGTAGTCAGCGGGTACCCGCATTTAGAAATAAAATAATAAAAATCGTGAAAATTAATTTTAGAGAAAACTATAACTCGCAGATGTCAGTAGCGTCATGATGGTTTTTACACTTACAAAAAACACGCTCGCACGTTGTGTCGATCCAATGCATGAAATGTGAATTTATTACTTGGAATTTATTGTTAATTAAGTTGATTTTTCATTGCCGTTCAATGATTATTTACATGCGCTGTGATTAGTGGCGGGTAAAATCGTAGTTATTCGAATAGTTTCAACGAACACCAAATAATTAGTATTGTCATTTAAAACAACATTAATTGGGATGTCGGTGGGATTGCAATCAACAATTACACATTCTTATTTATCATTATCAGCGCTAATTAAAAAAGATAACATATCTTGAAGACGGAAAAAGTCTTGCGATCCATGTAATAATTCGCCTCAACACTAGCTCCGCCCCTGATCAAAGCTCAATTACTATGTCCTAAGATTTTAGAAAAGTGAATAATAAATATGTTTTGTGGGATTTTGGAATGTATTCGGAATATCCCAGTATCCGACTATGGCTATCTCCGTAAACAGAATGGGACTTGACGAATTGTGACTCGACCTTACTCTTGGTGAACTGGGGAACTTTACTTGACAAAATTATAATTTAATTGAATATTCTAAGTGATTTAAGAGTCTTGCTGCACACTTGAATCTTCACTGATTTTATTGATTATTTAACATGATTAACTTTTACACTGATTGTTTAAATATGCATGTAACTGCTTTTCTTGTTATAGTTAAACTATGTATGCCTGAAGAAGTCTGACCTTGGTCAGAGGAAACGTTACAGAAATAAATTTGTGTTATATGTTGTGAATATATTGCCATAAAAACTTGACTTCAACATTTAACTGAGAATGATGTGAGCATTTCCTATAGCAGTACCAGTTCTATAAATCCCAAAACCAAATTTAATATTCACGGTTTAAACCTAAATTTACGGGAATCGAGATGATTTTGACTTGATACTTCAAACTAGTGAACTCGACTCGGATATTGATGACTTGACCTCGAACCTTCCCAATGGTTCCATGCACATAGAAGATTCTAACATCCAGAAGAGTTTTGTCAACTTTGTGTTTATGATTTTAAAATAAGAAACTTCATATTTACAGATCGAATGCTTGGATCTGAGATTTAAGGAAGTCAACAAACTAGGAGATGAAGTATTATCTACAATCATTGAAATTGTTCGTCAATGTCAGGTTCAAACATTGAAGATAGAGTTTTGGAAATTCAACTCCTATAAGTTGCAAAGGTTATACGAATTGAGAGCTGATACTGGGGTTAGGATCATATAGAATCCACAAACATGCCAGCTTGAATCTCATTCTGCTTCAACTTGTCCATTTTATCAACAAAAAATAGTTTTATCATATCAACTGTCAACAGATAGATATTTGCAAACATTGGAAGATATTATTACTTTTTGTTTCCACTTCAAACAAGGCTAGGGCAAGCATCCATTTGTATAAACGGACAGTACTGTCTAAGGAATCCTGCAAGTCCCATTCCTATATTAATGTATTATATTGTTTAAATCAGTGATTCTCAAAGTGGGCGATATCGCCCCCCAGTGGGCGAAAACGATACAGAGGGGGGCGAAAAAGTTGAAGCGGGCGATAGGGAGGCGATTTCGAGAAACCTGTTGTATGTTCGGCGCACCTAATTCTGTAATCTGTGTGCATTCGCAGACTTGAATCACGTGGGCAATTATCACACGCGAAAGGATTTCTGGACTCGTCTTCGCAGTAAGGTACGGTAGTTGCGTATCCCAGTGGTCGGCAAAATACGGCCGGAGTAAAATAATTTGGCCCGGGACGATTCACTGAATGGACCTTCCCCGACCTTTGATCGCAGAAAATTCTTCCCATACTTCACCATTTTAAAATTTTCTGTGTTTATTTTAAGTGTGGTTTCGCGAGTTGTTGCCTGTAAAATGGGGTATTTGTTTCAAACTATCATTCTAATACACACCATTCAACAATCTGTTTTTTAAAAGTACCGATAAAGAATTTGAGCCTAGTCTATCACAGCTATTTCTACACTAATTTTTGATTCCTGTAATTTAACCGAAACTCATAAGAAGACAAAGTAATCATTGATTTATATTTAAATTTCCGAAAAACAACTAAAAACTAACGAACATAATTCAAAATCGCGAAACTGAGGTAATGTTCACGACCACGCCTGAGAATCTGTCTGAGTGAGCGTTCTGAGCGGATGTGAAAGGGGGCATTGTCACGTTTTTTGCATCTTGCTGATTGGCCAATGTTACGAAGTAAACAAGGAAGTCTATGTCCGGGTAAACATTCAAATGGCGGTATTGACGATGAAATTTTTTTATTTATAATCTACGCTCGAGGAGTAAATTACATTTTTTTACGTAACAAAATTTATCGTGAGACACGTTTGGACTAAATTTTATTATATCCTAAAGCAAAGAACTAGAATTAGTGATTCCCATTTAGAAAATATTCCAATCTTGGCGTCGTAAAGCTATCCAGCGTGATGCAGCAACAAGACAGTGCCACATTAAATGTCATTGTAATATTTTTTTAATAAGACGACTGAGTTGAGTTCACGAATTGTCGCGCACTGTTCCGTTTTTAATTTCAAAAAATTTATGCGACCCGCAAAAAAATGGCAACCCTGAATTTTGTCCCGCGAGCGACATAAAATTTGCCGTCCCCTGGGCCGTAGCCGATAGTCGATCACGGCTTCTTCCACATCCGAGTCCATGAATCCAAAAACAAATGGCTGATTAATTATGGACTGGTGATCGGACTGGAGGCCGTGGTAGGATGAGGAATCGGGGATGAATTTTACCAAAGTATTTTGGTGCATGTCATCATGCTGTACGAATAAATGAGATGTACAAAAATCATTATTATAAGTTTGGGAAAATTAACCTTGTTTTTATTATTTTAATGTGAAATAGAGTGAATTTAGGAAGTGAAATACTATAAGGCAAGAGTACACGGCGGTGTTTGAGGAGGTAGAACCCTGGATTCTTTCATTTCCGACCTATTATATGGTGACAAAGGGGTTTTCAGCCGTGCTACTATTGCTATTAAAACAACAAAATAGCCTTTCCACCAGTAAACGGGGTAATTTTAGACATAAAAAAGAAGCTAAAGAACCCCAATCTCATCTATTTCATTAAAAAACACTATAAACTATGATTTGTCTTCTTATTTGGTCTGTAATATATTCGTTTCGAGATATTCACCCAATTAATTCGGATATGAGTAAATTAATAACCTAGATCAGGGTGGTTGTGCGTTGCCTCGCTTATTTTATATATACGCTTTGGTCAAACCCAGGCCCGCGGGCGACATGTGGCCCGCATCGCATTTGCGCGAGGGTAAACAAAATAATCGCATTTGGTGTTGTTTTGCAATGAAAATTAATAGAAAAATCGTTTGACATATTCTTACATCACTAATGTCACTGAATTAAATAGTGTTATGGCTAGCTGAAGCAACTAGCGAAGTTGAATAATGTACTTCGCTAGTCTAAATTGTTGACTATATTTTTTTTTTTTCAGTCAGGAATATATATGCTAGCAAAAAGAAAACTGAAAATCAAATGAGGAATCTATTAGCCCAAGTTGGCCATATCTTATAATTAAATATTAATGTAATGGCCAAACAAAATAATTCCTGTCAGGTACCGTAGTTTTTTTCAACCAGGGTAAACAGTATCACAAAAAATGCTGCCAATATGTCAGAAAATTAAGTAATCACCTTCCTGTATCTCAAATTTGGTGCAGGTATTTTGTAAACACGAGTTCGAAAAGAAAGCTGACCAATTAACATAGATTTTTGACTGGATATGGCAGGAAAATACTACAATGGATAGGATTTACATATTTATCGTGGAGAAGAGGGAAAGCCTATAAGACGGCTTAACCATATGGGGAACCACGGCCTCTCGTCCGGTTACCATTTTATGTCGGGTATGGGATTATTTAGTTATTTGTTTTCGGAATCATGGACTTGGTGGAGGAAGCCGTCACCGACCAGCGGTTACGTGAACCACCCTACAGCAGCGAAGGGTCCAGCAATCATCTCGCACATAACCATCCTTGCATCGGATTCGAACCTGCGAACTTACGCAGAGGTGCCGTGGCGAGCATATTCCTAACGTTTGGCACAGTGAGCCACACCGCCGCTTGATAGATGTGTCGGTGACAATCTAGAACGGCATTTCCTCTTTATGACACTTTCTCATTTATGAAGAGTTTGAAATCTTACACTAAATGTAGACATAGTAAGATTCGTTCACATTTTAGTGAGTGTTTTTTTTTGGTGGTTCTTACATGTTTTAGCTTGAGAAATGGCAAATAATGATCAATGTGTTTGGGACAATAAAAGTGCTTGTTTTGTATCATACTATTGACCTATTCCTGGCACTGCTGTGGCCCGCGAACAATACAAAAATAGTAGTGTGGCTTGCGAGGCCGACAGTCTTGGACCTCCCGGACCTATAGTAGATCAACGTGGACACAAACTTCTTTTGACTTCTAAGTACACTCACCAATATTATGTCAATTGGCATATCTTGTAAGCGGCAATGTTGTAAATGGGACTTTGGATATACCTTCCACTTCCATGCGATTATAATTGTTGGTTTTCTGAATTTTCAAACATCTGGTGACGTGTGAGGAGATATTTTTAGAAGCAGCGGATTCTTTCCTTTTTGGTATTTGCGCCTACTGTCCCTTCTTTGTATTTTTCTCATTTTTATTAATTTGGCTGTTATAGCTGGATCCACTTTATCAAACATGATTCATTTAATTTTTTAAATCTATTTGAGTCTCCTGCTCATAAGTTCCCACCAAAATCCTTATTGACCCTAATGATGGTTCCAGTCACATATTGAAGTTTTTCAATTCTCTTGTTCTAATTTTATTATGATGTGTTATTGTATCTGTGCTGTATATTAAGCATTACCACTGCATGTATGTTTTTCTATTTCTACTAATTTTAATAACCCACCTTATCAGTCAAACATAAACATCTCTTAATTATCTTCATGTTCACAAATGCCTTGTCTTCAGTGAATTCAATCTTTATTTCATGAGAATAACTTGCTCAAGCAACAAGAGCTATCTCTGAATTACTTATTGGAATGATATTAATTGGATCAATGCTAAAGAGATTTGTTCTGAGACGCTTTCCTGATTCTGTAATCAGTTTTATTTATTTTGTTTTTATCAATTTTTTTATTGACTGTTATGCTAATTATTGAGCCAAAATTAACTTTATATAACATACGTTTATATCATCCGTAAAAAGTAATCCTAATGCTCTATAAAGTATAAGTTTATATCCATTGACTCTATGTTCTTCATAAAAAGAGTTTAGAAATCGCCCTAGTGCCCACCTGTAGCGTATTTTATTATTTCGAGTTTTCATCGTAACTATTTGATTTGAGCCAATATCATTACTGTTTTACAAACGTTTACTTAATCAACATATCTTTACCGCACAAACGGCCACTAATATTTTGAATTTTTCTTTGGTGTTTATATGTTGTTTAGTAATGTATGGTATAAACCAAATTCCTTCTATATCCTCTGCTGTAATTGAGCATATAGGTTTCCCTGACACGATAGTCTTTTGCAGCTCCTCATCAATTGCGAAACATTGTGGTCTTTTATGTGACTTCTCATTATTATTAGTTTACAATTTTTTCCATCTCTTTTTGTGATTTTGTCTTGATCTAGCATTATTCTGACGTTTTTTTTTTATACATATTACAGCTTGAAAATCAATAACATACCTATAATCATAAAACGTTTGTAGTGATTGAGCCGTTGTGGGTGGAAAGGGGGTGAAGTACGTTGGTATTAAAGTGCTGTTTTTTGCAGACCATACGGCGCACTATATTATAAGGCACTAACAATAAATGATACTCATGTAGTATGTGAACCAAGATGGCGGGCACCGGAACGTAGTATGTGTACCAGGTTAGGGTTAGGCCATAATTTCAGGTACAAATAATACGAATCACTTGGCTAGTCCCCGAACTCCTAATAGAACTAAAATAAGGAAAATTGGAATAAAATTATGTCCTAACCAGGTACACATACTACGTTCCGGTGTCTGCCATCTTGGTTCACATACTACGGAAGCGCCCAAAAATTGCTTTAATTGTCGTTCTTATTCGTATAGCTTAGGACGCAATAGTTTTTAAAGCAATACCTGTACCGGTTTTGACTATAGGCATTAGGACCCAGGGGTCACCAACCTTTATGGAGCAGCGGGCTACTTTCTGGGTACCGACCAAGCTTAGGGCACTTTTCGGAAAAGCCAATTTGATATTAACAGTATTTAGCCAAGGAGACACTGATATTGTTAATTATCCATGAAACTATCAATAGTAGTTTTGCTATCAAATGTTATATTTTACCAGCACATTTGACAAATCATGGATATCATATTTTTAACCAAGACCAAATCTGGTGTATTCCTCCTCAGTACGTGGGAAACCTGGTATTGCATGATCTGGTTTGCAACTTGATGCCAAAAATATGAGTATGTCTTGCAGATGTTCATCGATGAGGTGTGTTTAGGGTTCGTTCTCGATGAAGTTTATATATTAAAAGGCTCATTCACAAAGATAGGTTGAACCGAACAAGCTGCTGTTCATACACCACGGCACTTTCTGTGTCCACTAGAGCCATAAAGTGTGACAGGCCCAGATTGGCTTTGAGGTGAAAGTCATCAGGCCCTGATTGGCTTTGGGGTGGAGGTCATTTGGCAGTGTTACAATTTCAAGCCCCATCTGCCCC